CTGTGTTTATATAGCAGTCAGATTTTCTGATCTTGCTCTTTGGGGTTCATTCACACCAGATGCAGTGCGTTCCGGCCCAATTCTCGCCAGAACGCACTGCGGCCGACTCACATTTTTGTAGGGGCAGGAGGAGGAGTGGCGGGCCATTGAAGTGAATGGTACTGTAGCCACGCCATGCGATCGGCCGCACGGGATTGCAAGGTACATTAAGCCTGCGGTCCGGTCCAATCAAAATGCTGCAAGCACTATTTCGATCACACTGGACCGCAGTCATTGCGATCCCGTGCGGCTCGGAAGACAAATGCCGTCCGTCATTTGTCTTCTGAGCACGCCACTAACCTTTTTAAGGTTTTCGATCTGCCCATCTTGGACCTGCAGGGAAAAAAACTCCCATTGCAGTGCAAGGGTTAGCTGCTCATTTAGGTCTAGGGTACCCGGGTAAGGTAATTTAAAATCTCGTTCGATCTGCCCATCTTGGACAGGCAGATTGTACTTGCGATCATCGCAAGCCCTCCCAGCTGAGGGGAGGGCTTCCGATGATCCCAACGCTTGCGCACACCGGCCTGTTCGGCATTTGTCTTCCGAGCACGCCACTAACCCTGCCAATTTTTGGCAGGTTTTCAAGCGTGCTCGGAAGACAAAAGACGCGCGACCGTACAGTAGAAACGGTCGCACGCCTTCCATACACCTGCCGATTATCGTACAATAATCGGCAGATGTATGGGCACCTTTACACAGATACTAGTCAGGTACTTAACTCTTACTATGCGGGGGATAGTCCCACTGCAAGGTCGTCGTCGCCCCAACCCTCTTCCCCAGAGATCGGCTTCAAGTCCCCTACGATGATCTGAGGGTTTTAAAAGGAGAAGAAGCATTTCTCCTGGACGTGAATGCTGAAATGTATAGAGTTAAAATAATAAAGCATGTGATCTAGTTTTAAATAGGGAAATGTATGAAGAAAGGTGTGTTCTGTTACAACATTCACAGACCATTCGCCAACATCAGCACATGACTGTGTGACTATATTACACTATTATCTAGTGGTGTACCTTTGCTGAACCAATGCCTATATTATTGCATCGGATGGTAAAATCTCCCGGCAACAGTATTCTTTGCCATATCAAGGCATCATTTTCTACTGTACAGAAATAATCTTATACACTAATTACTACAGTTAATAAAATACAGATATTTATAAGGAAAAGCTAGCAGAAACCATTCAAGTAAAAAGGAAAATAGTGTTGAATGTCACCCACTTAAAGAAAATACTTGTGCTATTGATTTAGCTATTGATTTATTTTTTCTTTCAGCTGATAGAAATGTTGTACTTCACCCTTCTTATTGCTGATAATTTCCTCATGACTAAATAACGTTTATAACAAAATCTAATTTAAATTGACCTACTAGATATTTAGTAGATTCTCTCGTCATAAACGCTTGAAATGTTGTAAAGAGGCACCACTGCCTCTTCATACTGTAAATACCAGTACCCTGTCCCTTATGTAACAACCCATATGTATGAGCCTGTATTCTTTCATCAGTCACTGACAAGTTGGGCAGGTTGTGAAGTTGCCACAGTCCATTATCCCTGAGATTGTCTGACCACTGCAAGAGATCACTGCATTTGATCAAATTACATGGTTCATAATCTAGTTGTGTAGAGTATTGGCTTAGGGTATGACCAGCGCAGACGTGATTGAGAACACATCTTTATGCATTACTGCCTAATTGGAGAATCTATTAGCTTGACATTGTTGGACCCAGTGCGCTTCCTTACTAAATCGATCTTGGGGGAGACAGGGTCGTGATTGTGGAGCAGAAGGGGTATAGGAGATGGCTCAAAAGCCAAACGTGAGGACTAAAAAAGAGGCAGAAAGGCAGCTAATCATGAAGGTGGGGAGTGAAGATGGAGAAGACGAAACAGCAGCTGGCTAAAGGCCAGGCAGTCATAGAGGAGGTAGAGTACAAGCTGTTTGTGACAGGGAATAGAAGGGAGATAGGAGTGTCAGTTGACCACGAAACATTGGCAGAGAGTGTAAGGTGAATGAGAAAAGAGGCATCATGTGAGCTAATTAAGTACCAGGGAGAGTAAAGCTGGCCATACACCTTACAATTATCTGCAGATTTTCTGTGGTCAGATGGAAAAGGTGCAACAGATTCCTCCATCTACACTTAACTGTGTGGATGAAGTAATCTCCACCTGGGCCAATCTGTTGCACTTTTTCCATCTGGCCACAGAAAATCTGCAGATAATTGTAAGGTGTGTGTGGGCACCTTTTTTAGGATGAAAAAAGGCAGAAAAGTAGATGATCAGAGCTGAGAAGAGGGGAGGCAGTGAGATTTGATAGAGGCCAGGGGGGTAGAGGAGGATAAACGTGATCTAGTCATGGACTTTTTGAGTCTGAGAATGGTTGGTGGGCAAACGCAAAGATGAGGAAGATTGTGGGCGATGGGGGAGATGAGGAGGAGTAAGCACTGATAGTTGCTTAGTGGCTGTGGAAAGAGGGGAGAGGCAGGGAATCATGTTCCACTGAGGGTGGACGCAGTGGGGGGACTTATCATGGACCTTGGGGTGAAGAAAGAGGAGGCAGAGAAGGAACCAGGGAGGGGCCATGCATGAACTGTCGTTTCTCCCTCCTTGATTCTGATCTCCCTCTTTTTGATATGTGTAGTTTAGCTGTTTGCATTAGCCACCTCTGACCAGAACTGTATATGAAATGTCAGGTGGTATTAAAAGCCTATCTCCAGAAGGGGGGGAAAACCTCCTCCTATGTAGTGGGGCTACCTCTGGACTGCAAGGGTTAACTGCTCATGTATGTCTAGGGTACCCGTGTAAAGGCTTTCACTTACCAGATTCCTGCATCCCTGACAGTTGGCGCTCACCTCGACTCCCTTATACTCTGGGTTGTGGACTATCTCCTGGCATCCTCGCATATAATGCAGGGCAGTGGGCCTTGCATTGTATGTGATGACATCAGCTGGAGGAAGAGCATGCGGATGCCAGTCTTCTAGTAAGTAAAAGTCCTTTACGCAGGTACCCTACACAGTTGACCCTTGCAGGGCAGGAGCAGCCCCACTGCAAGGTAAGTTTTCCCCAGGGATAGGGTTCAAAGCAAAATTCCAGTCTCGCCTGTTTTTGTCCCATCTCCCTCTGTGCATGTAGTACATGGTAGAAAACTGTGCTGCACGTTAATTCTTATTAATTTTCTCCCTCACCCTACTGTCTGCTTCTGAATTTTGATTGATGGGCATTGCAGCAGGTAAACTTCCTGTCTAGTGAGGTCCAGCCTCCCACAAGTAAAGTACCTATTGAGTATTATTGTCTTTATGTGGTGCACACAGCTTCCATAATGCCAATTTTATCTGGGTGAAAAAAACAAAAACCTGCCACCTCCCTTTTGCATATTGTATCTTGGGACTCGGGACTCAGAAATGAAGCATTTGGTAAGTTGCTTAAAGTAGTGTCTTTGCTTTTGTGTTCTGGCCTGCAAACACAAGTAACAGCATCTTGTTTTATCTGGATGAGAAATTATCTCCCCTCCCCCTCTCCCATGCACACTAAAGGAATTCTTATACAGATGACTGTATGTTGTTGTGTTGCTCTACGTGTGTGTGTGTGTGTATATACAGTGTTTCTCAGTGAGTACAACTCACTTGTTATGTTTCCTATTGTATTAGGTGGTAATATGCGCTGTATTATCCACTCATACAGGAGCAGTAATACATATGGAATGGCGTTCAGTCTAGTGTCTTAAGGCCGTGACACACTGCACGCAAAGCCGTGCAGAGCGAAGCAAAGCTATCCGGCACAGAGCTTTGCGTGCAGTGTGTGAGCTGAGTGCAGTCAGATGATTGACAGCACCTTCAGCCAATCGGCTCGTCCGTAACAACCTGCCAGCTGTCGCATCGCGACGCGCTGGTTTATACGCGCAAGCCGATTGGCTGAAGTTGAAATTGTTCATCTCTGCATGCTCAGCTCCGCGAGCTCCCCCAAGCTGAGGTGCCGAGCAGAAAATTACATGACACACTGCTCGCAAAGGCAGCGCGCCTCCGCTCCGCGCTGCTTTGCGTGCAGTGTGTCACGGCTTTTATGCTGTACAGTGTTATCTGGACTGCAAACATGTAACACACAGCATTTAGTTTACTGTCTTATATTATGTACATTTAGGCAAATAGGTGGTTTTTAGCTTAGATGGGCATGATCTCTGCAGAATGTCAATCACTTGCATTGGGCATTACTACTGTGCAGTGCTAGCTCCACCTGAGTTCTCCAAGGCAGATGAATTGCTGCAAAGCTTGAATATCTGCTTGGGTGTTTGCTGGAGGGGCACCAGAAAGGGTAGCAGGCCTGGTTGGTGGAGGGGCACCAGAGAAGTTGGCATAACCGTTTGGTTGAGGTGCAGCAGAGTGTGTAGCACCCAGTTGGTTGAGGTGCAGCAAACTAGGTTGTCGCCCAGTTGGATGAGGGCACCTGAGAATTTGGCAAAACCAGTGAGTGGAAGTGCATCAAAGAAAGTAGTGCACCCAGTGAGTGGAGGTGTGCCAGTGAGTGGAGGGGCATTAGAGAAGGTTGCATGCCTGGTGGGCTGTGGATGCCACAGAAGATAGCATGCATTGACCTCTTGGCATTGCAGTGTACAACTCCAGAATCTGACCTCAGAAGAGGCTCATAACTGTCCTAGTTCATTCATTTCTGGTGGCAGAATCCTCTAGAAGGGAAAGTAAAGGTTAGTATCTCTGTTATAGCATATTGAGCAAGAGCTGAAACCCTTATGCCTTGTGAGCACTATAATAGGGCTACGAATCCTCATGTTCTGTGAGCAACTGGTCAGTTCTTTGCTCTGCTCTTTGCTGTGAGAAAATTGGAAACAAGTAACAGAAACCCATAAAAAGATAAAGCTTCTATGCTTTAGGAATACATGCACACATATATACTGAATGGTACCAATAATTTGCACAAATCACTACTTATATGCTATGTTATTTTGTATTTCTAACAGAAAGCAATTGACCTCGCCGGTAAAGCCTCACAAGAAGACAAAGCAGGAAACTATGAGGAAGCGCTTCGCTTATATCAGTGTGCTGTACAGTATTTTTTGCACGTGGTGAAGTGTAAGTGTTTATGCAATTCTATGAGTATTTATGTCCTGTTTACTTTAAAGAGAGAACTTTTAAAGGCTCTGAATGAAATCTGAGAAAACCTGGGCAGCATCTGAGTGGAACATGAAGCCATAGTGCCTTGTACATACCCACCAGTTCTTGGTATCTCCTGCACAATTTACAAGTGTATGTGGGATGTCATATTGGCTCCTTAGATATGCTTGACCTAAGGGACCCACAGATGATGCTTTAGCTAAAAGTGAGGGTTTCCTTTCTTTTTCTTGGCATTATGGACTCCAACCAATGTAATGCAGTTGTCATGATGCACAAACAACATGGTGTAACCCCTTTACAACAGCATTACACATATAATCAGAATCGCACAATTAGACTTTCTTCTGTGGCGCTGTATATATGTTGCATGCGTTTGTACTGAAAGCATGCTCGACTGAGCACTCCCAGTAGCTGTCACAAACAGTGTGACGTGTATCATATCACTTTGATAGCCAATCACAGGGATCACTAGTAAAAGATGCCCCATTTTTGTCTTTCTCCTTTGACAGGTGCATTTGACCTACATAGACTTGTATGGAAATGCAAAACCCATTTGAACTGAACAAAATCCCATCAACACAGGCTGTTATCATAGAATTGTTCGGGAACGGAATGTGTAAAATCTACCAAAAAGGGTTACAAATGACAGATTAACATTGGTTATGTTTAAAATGTACATTCCATAGAGGATATGATAATCAGCCTTATTCTTGTAATGTTATTGAGCACATGTAGAGTGAATAGCATTTGTTTAAAGAGGAAATAAACTCCCCTCCCATTGCTGCCTCGCTGGCGCCAACAACTTCACCTGACCTTCTTCCAGGTTTAAGATCTTAGGCCATCTTGATTGACCAGACCGGAATGAAGTAACTCCTGTTCATGTCCACTGGAGTTCATTTATTTCATTACCAAGGTGTGGTGAGAAGGTACACTGAGCTGCGCGTGTGCAGCTCGGTGTACGTCGTAAAGATGATTGTGAACAGACATGTAAGTTTATTTGACAACAGAAGAGACATAGCGTGTCTCCTCTACAAAGAAGAGTCTGCCTACTCGCAAATAGTTCTGTTAAACAGGATAATGCAGCATCTTGCAGATACAGGATTAAAAGACACGTTTTCAGTGAATTATATACAGAATATATTTAGCAGTAAAAATATTGCATTTATTCTATGTGTATGTCATTTTCTTTTTTCTTTAGATGACACTCAGGGTGAAAAAGCAAAGCAGAGTATTCGAGCAAAGTGTATAGAGTATCTTGACAGAGCAGAACAGCTGAAGGCATATTTAAAGAAAAAGGAGAAAGCCCCAGCAAAACCTGTAAAGGAAGGTGCTCCTCGACATGAAGAAAAAGGGTATGTGCCTCTAAAAATTAATTTGTTTTATTGGGGAATCTAAGCCTTGCCTGTAGGAGGAGGAAGTTCCTCCACTGTGGACTGACTAAGCAAATCGGTTTTAGCTTTGTTGTTAGCGCATGTGTTCTAGCCTCTGTGTGATAAATATATTTATATAATATGTATAAATAATCATTTATGATGACATTTTAGCTACTTTTATAACTGTTTAATTTATGCTTTGCATTTGGTAATTTTGATTAACAGTAATGAGATATATATATATTCTATTATCAATCTCAATTTTTTTTTTTTTTTTTTAAATAACGAAGAGTCACTGCAGGGACAGGCAAAGTCGCATACATCCATACCAGTGTGAAAGGAATATCTACATAGTATCGTGGGCACCACATGAGTGTGAGAAGTTGGTTGGAGAGTAGTCCCGGCAGTCAATGGCAAATGTATGGCTATATAACAGTTTAAGGTGTACCAGAAGGACAAACCTAGGGTCCAGTAGGCATGCCAAATTAACCTGATTCTCATAAAAGCCTAGAAGGAATCAAAGAAGCATATGCGAACAAAACTAAAAGGAAGGCAAGACAATACAGCCAAGAAGAGTGGGAAAGAAGAAAAAAAAAAGGGAGTGGGTTGGGGAGGAGAAGGTTGAGGCATTAAAAGGAGGAAGGGGTGAGAGGGGAGACATTGAAAAGAGGGGAAGCCATCATCAGTGGAAAGTCCGGCAGTGGAGATTTACCAGTATGAGAGGTAGACCCATTCTTTTTATGTCTTTTTGCAGCAGTTGAAAAAGGTTGTAATTTGTTATTTATTTAGGAATGATAGTGATGAAGGGGAGTCGGGGGACCCAGAAAAAAAGAAGATGCAGACCCAGCTGCAAGGTCACATTTTATTTTTATATATGTTATGAATTCCATTGTGCTTTTTTGTAATTTTGTTTGTGATACCCAATCTGACTGTAAATTAGGTTTTACATTAGAGTCAAATTTTCATTTTTTTGCAATGCGCTTTAAACACTTAAGGCCGGTTCACACTTGTGTATGCATTTCCATATGTTGCGTTGAGCATACCCATTAATTTTTCAATGGGCCCTTAAAGGGTAAGCTCACTTTTTCACAAATTGGGAAAAAATTTACTCCCCCCCCCAGCACTTGCATGCCGAAAGTCCCCTCCAACTGGTGTAAGGGTCCATACAACAGACTACCTAGCCCCGCGGTGTGAAATTCTCATAATGTTTGCAAATGGCAAGCGCTCATTGGTCAGCACAGTCTCATGGCAAAGCTGACCAATGAGAAGCGCTTTTTACTTCCGGGACCGTCAGCTCAGGAGTGCTTCTCGTTGGTCAGTGTGGTCATGTAACCATGCTGACCAATAAATGCTCAGCATTTATGAGCTTTCTATACTGCAGGGCTGGGATGTGTGGTGTACAGACTTCTACGCCAGCTGGCATGAGTTGTTGCATGAATTTGCCGCACTATTGTTTCAAGGCACTTCTGCAAAGTTTTGTTAAGTAACTCAAAACTGTGTGAGCTTCCAATAAATTGAGAGCAGCTTGGTGGTGACCCCATCCTCCTTAAGGGTCAATTGTACATGCAACAACCTATCAACACAGCCTTATTATAGACCATGACTGCAGGAAAACAGATGATTGTTCATAAAGCATTTTTAAAAAGCACATGAAAATGCACAGGTGTGTATCCAGCCTAAAATACATCAACACCCTAGAAACCCTGACTGGCTCAAGGCCACTAAAGAACCTCAGTGTGTGTCTGCACTATATCCTGCAAATCAAAAATGGCAGCGGCTCCGATCAATTTATAACTAGCAAAAGCATATGGACAAGGCATTATACTAAACATTTCTCAGCACTTGATGCAGCTAGTCGGCTTAGAAAGCCTAATTAAACTGTTTTAATGTTTGGTTAAAAACAGATTTTTGTTGTTGCAAATAATATTTGAAGCCATCGTGCCACGTTAGACCTCTGCAAAGTTTATTCCTTAACATAAAGATATTCTAGTTCATTCCCACTGTATCCATAACAGATAAATTATTGGGTTGGAGTTCCATTTTAATCATTTAACAGAGTTTAAGTTATTTACTATTTCCTGTTATTTCACAGGTGCCATTGTCATGGAAAAACCAAATGTAAAATGGGGTGATGTTGCTGGCCTGGAAGGGGCCAAGGAAGCACTCAAAGAAGCTGTCATTTTACCAATTAAATTTCCTCACCTGTTTACAGGTAGTTATTTACCCTTGGGCTCTCTTTTAGCTATATGTCTGTATATCCATCTGTGGTGACATGTCAAAAATAATTGTTAAACTGTCTTATGAGAAGATGAGGTGACCATTGGGAAATGCCACATTGCTTTGGCATATAATGGACTTGGGGTTCTGGGGCTGTATTGTTGGAAACATAAACCTATGGTGCCTTTTGCCAATAACACGTCAGGACTGTTTTAGGAAATGCCATGTTGGTTATATACATCAATTCAGAACCACTTACCCTCTCCTTCAGTTTGCAATGTCACTTAAGTGTGACGATCTGTGAGCGTCCATGCTAATCACTGCACATTTCACAGCACTGACTACATTGCAATTGTGTTAGCAGTAATGATGGAAAAGATGCTCATGACAAAAAGATCTATTGATCAGGGTTCCAAAAAATAGGTTGTTGGAAAATTAAATAAAAGCACATAGCCCATACAATATAAGTACTGCCGTTCAGGCTCTTCTAAATATTTTTCTTTGGTAAATCAATGCAGAAATTGTATTTTTTTTGTAGAGAAGAAGCTGTTATGGGGTTTTTTTTTTTGTTTTTTTTTAGTAATAATATTATTATTTTATTTTTTTCTGTGGTTATGGTATGGAAACCAATACAATATAGTGAACAATGCTCCACATTCATGGTCACATCAGACTTGCAATACTTTACAGAGGTGATACATGAAGAAATACAGAAATGATTGCTTTGGATTGGGAATATGAAAATTCCCTTTGTCACGAATGGTGTAACGTGGAAACACTCAGATTTTACTTGTAATCTCTTCTAGTTTCTTGTAACTAACAATTTGATATTTTAAATAATTGGAAGTAAGAAAACATAGTTGAGGTATCTGCTCTTAAAAACAATAGTTAACTGCAAAATGCATATTAGTTTGTCCACTAGACAGATTGGGTGCCTCAGACCATCCTTATTTTGCTCTCAACCCACCCTATGTGTGTGGGTTGGAACAAAGAAGGTATTGTAGGGATTAGGGAAAAGCAATAGAGAGGGAGGGGAAGTTGGAGTAGATAATAGGTGAGTATTGGGGAGAGAGG